GAGTAGGATAAAAATAAGATGTGTTTTAACATCATTCACCTGTTCATATTGGTTTTCAGCTTAACAATGATCGATTCTGCTTCCGTTGCCTGTTTCAGCCTCTCCTCACTAAGTTTACTAGTCTCTTCGTATTTCTTCTCGGTTTCAACTATTTTCGTTTCTAGAGAGCTTACCAAGGCCTGATGCACGAAGATGACAAAAAGAATAGAAAAAATACAGTCACATCATTTGAAAAATATCTGTGAACACACACACACACACACATATATGAAGTCCCTAAATATCGCCGGCATGCCTTGAGTTTTTCGTTTTCGGCACTAAGCTTATTCGTCATTTCATGGTCGACAACGGGAATCTCTTGTATAACAGGGGCACGCTCAGCTGCCATCTTTACAGCTTCCCTTTCCTTCAACAGCATGTCTTTAGACTCTTTGAGCTGAAGCTGAACCTCTTGTAAAGCAGTTTGCAATTTTGTGTTCTCTTGAGTTTTTGCTTCTTCTAAGTCGGTCTGCAGATATAAAATATATGTGAGATAATCCCTTTCAGCACTCCTAGAAAGTAAATGAAATTAAAATGGATGATTATAAAAACCCCACTGATGTTAGTCACAGGGGAAAAAACAACATCAACAACAAATATTTTAACCTTCTAAAATGACAACATAGCCCTTTGAGGTTAAAAACAGTAAAACACCACCTTGAGATATGTATTTATTTTCCAACACAACATTAATTTAAACATACATAAAAGGGGTATTTATCATAATATATTTGAAATATAAATATATTCGTTTTCCTTAGGATAAATTGTAAGGGTAATATTTGTGATTATCCACATGAATACTCCATTTAAATATTCATTTCTGTGATTTGACCTCACAAGAAGATTGTAGGTCCCCATATCTTTGTATAAACACTAATTATGTCAGTTCAGTGCGCCTAAATCATGCAAAAACGAATTTACCTACGTATGCATATAGAAGAAGAAACTAAAAAGGAACAAAAAAGTACAAAAATTGAATAAACTCAACTCCCTAGTCCAAAAAGCATTATGAGGGGATAACTTACTCTCATTCGTTTCTCAAGCTGCAACCTCCAAGTCAATTCTTCAACTTGCTTCTCTAATTTATTCTTTGCAGCTTGCAGGGCACCAGTTTCTCTTGCAGCCTGTGTTTTGAAGGAGGTGAGTAAAAGCCATATGCAGCCGATAATGGAATAATATTTACACATTCTGGAAAGTTCCACTTATTTTCAAAAACCAATTCACAATCCAGTAATGAAAGTTCCACTCATTCTCAACCTTATTAATATTATATGCTTAAAATGTGTAAAATGAAAGGCTTAGGGTGTGATTTCCAAGATCTGCATCTATTTTTTACTTTTGCAAGAGAATAGGTACAAAGCTTTATTGCAAAGAATAATAAAGGGAGACAGAGAGGGAGAGGGAGAGGGAGAGGGAGAGAGAGAGAGAGAGAGAGATGACCATCTTGAGTTTACGCAGCTCTTTACGAGCAACTCTACCCCTCCATGAACATTGTGTAGTGATTGCGGCTTTCTGCAGCTTCACATATTCCAAACGAGCCAAGAGCTTGCGGCAATGACTCTGCCATCCATTCAATAAAATTTAAGCCATCAAATTTTATATTTCAAAATAAATTAGCTTTCCTGAACAAACTAATCTTGTTTCCGAAGAATATGGAGTAAACAAACGTACCTGGATTACAATTGCTGCTCTCGTCTGTCGTCTAAATCGAAGCTCATCACGAGCAGCCATCCCACGCATTCCTGTCTGAATTGAGACAGCTGATGAGCACAGTTCTTTGTATGCTTTCCTAGAAAGATACACTCGCAGTTCTGTTTGTATCCTGAGACAAGCAGCCTCTCGCCGCATGCTTTCGTAAACATGCCTGGTAAGTTCTCCTGGAAAAAAAAAAGATAATAACAAACATTCAAGTTATGATACCGTTTTTGTATGTTTATCCCTCCATCTCACACAGATAGGTCGATAGTTATTTTATGCCGATTAAGAAAATGTTGGAATATTTGTATTTTCGTTCATGCCAATATAGCTAATTTACATTTTATCCATTCTCTGCTCGAAATTTTGTAACAGCCAATCTAATATAAATGCACCAGTGTGACCCAAAGATGATTCAGTACAGTTATGCATGGAATCGAAATTGAGTAATAATAGAGGTAGCACAAGCCTAGTTTGTAGACAAACGGAACATAATCTTTTAACAAATTCAAATTACCATAGATCTGCAGTTTATGCTTTCTGTTTTAGTGGTGTTCTTTGTTTAAGTAAATTTACTTGATTATATTTTGTTATAATCATCATTATTTATAATATTAAAATAATTGAGTGACTTATCATTATTTAATATAGTAAAACGTTCATTAGCATGGTACGGAAACAATACTAAAGATGTAATTATTTCCTTCAAAACACATTACCTCTACAAATGGATTGGATGACAATCGTTGACCGACGCAATAATGTGAAGCTTTTTTGAGCCAAGTAAGAACGGACTTTCCTTTGGATAATGCTGGCTGAACGTCCCAACACCTCAGTCCTCCGGGTATCAAGCTCTGCCATTTGACCAGCCCTCAGAAAAACTTTTGTTTTACCAATCTACAAAAAATATAAATAAATAAATTCTGCATTAATGACTGTGATATTCAATATCGAGGTACGGTGAAGTGAGATGTTCAAATTTGCCAATGACACTTTTCTGGATACAGCTAAGAAAAAAGAGAGGAATAAGTGTCAACAAAATATAGTAATAACACATTTAACAGAGAAAAAAGGAAGTATGGTCACTAATTTCTAGAAATTACAATATCATGACTTTCAAGTAGCGGTCCTGCTGAATTAAGAAGCTTAAATCTCAATGATACAAGCAGAATAAGTTTCATGCAGTAAAATTCCTTAAAGAAAGGGTATATATTACAGTTTATTCAGTAAAGATAAAATTATATGTTAGTGCGACTTTTTGGCGGAAATTCAAGTAGTACCTGATATCCTTCAAGTCCAACTTTCTCCAATAGTTTCCTGCAAACAGCGACCTCATCCGTACTGCAATTAACCCAATCAACATTAACACGCCAATATAAATCTGACCAAAAAGGAAAATACAAGCTAGAAAATATTTATAATACCTCCCGTCAAGAACTTCAGGAGCAAGAATACCAAAACGGTCAACAAATTCAAAGAAGGGTCTCTTGGTTGGATAGCCGGCGCAACTTATCCTAATTGCTTCCATGACACCCTAGAATAAATATGTTCAACGATTACAAATATCAAACAAGTGAGCTTTGCCAAATTTCAAACTTAAAAATTCTAGAAGGGGATAAAAGAAAAGATATTACCCCACAGCGCAGTTGTTGCAGGACATTATGATTCTCAAATATAGCTGGCTTAAGAAGATTATTCGGCTTCACACAGCGAATATAATGAGGTTCAGTTGAACTTAGAGTTTCTAGCAGTGCTTGTAATTGTTGCTGCAAAGTGTATGATATAAAAAAAAAAACATCAAATCTAATATGATAAATAGAAATGTTAATGGAAAACAACTAAACAAGAAATTTCATACCTTAAACCTTGAGCCAATAGAAGAAAATTTTGATTTTTTAGAGGACTCTTCATTTGATATGGGGAAAAGGCCCGAAACAAAGGAACATTTGGAAGCATTCAAGAGAGCCTGATGCTCAGCAACAACATAATCCTTGTTTTTGTCCAGAAACCACTCGGTTTGATAAGTCACCTGATAAATAGACATTATTATAATCCCACATGCCAGTAAAACTAAAACCACAGCATGTAAATTGAAGCAGGAAATTTATGTAAGTGTTCAGATAAGGATAATCTAATAATACTGATGGTTATGACACATGATAGAATAACAGAAAAACTATAAACTTACATCACCAGCATAATGGGAAATGGTGAAGTCCGAACGAGCTAATTTGGGCTTGCTGAAACGCTTGTGGTTCTTAAAGGTCTGGTATAGCTTTTGTGCAAATGTTTCATGAGTTGAACGAGGAAACATGCTACAAAGTAGAGTAGGTAAAAAAAAATGTCACCAGAGCCATCAGGAAATATCAGCAGTCAGCGCAGTAAGCTGACAGACTAAAGAACGTAAAAGAGTTGTCCCCACATACCAGGCTTCATCAAGGAGTGCGATAATGCCACCTGGCTTCTGAAATTTTCAAAAAAGAAACCACACATTAGAAAAAATAAATAAATAAAAATCGTTTATTATAAAGTACAATATAAGACAGGGAAGAATAAATAACAAAACATAAATGTTTAAGAAGTAAACTAATGACATCTCCAAAAAGAAACAAGAAAATTTCAGGGATAAATTGCAGCTGCGTAAATTAAACCTTTTCAATTAGATCTAAAACATCTTGATTGTCGATAAACTCTATGTAGCTCCAATTAATTTCTTCCTTCGTATACTCCTCTTGCTCCATTTTGAATACGTGCTGGAACGTAAGAAGTTGATCAACATTAAACTGATACAAAATCCATAAATATCACCAGAAAGAATGTTAAACTGTTAAGATCAAATACCTGATTAAAGTGCTGCTGGAGCTTCTCATTCGTCAAGTTTATGCAAAACTGTTCGAAACTGCATCGATGTAGCATTTAAACTATTAGCAATATTCATTAGCAAGTGTCCAACATTTCAAACAAAGCATTGCCCTCTCCAAACTGTTGAAGGTGTATGATAAGCATCTTGTTAAATAGTTTTTCGAAGGAAGCTTGGAGTCTATTAGTCTGACAAAAGTAGTACATACACAAAAAAGTCTTAAAAAATTAACTAATTAAGTTTTCTGACTCAAAATCCATGCACGCGTACTTGAGGGTATGCATCCCAACTTCAATACCATAACGAGAAGATGCTGAATGTACAAGGTAGAAATATCTGGAACAGCACTTACAAACAAAAAATTCAACAGATGCAATCATTAAATAATATGCTTTCTGTCCATTAAATACTATAATTATAATACTTTGCAACTGACTGACCAATGCATATTATGCCAACAATCATTAAGGCAAAGCATACCGGTTAAGCACCTGTTAGTCTTGAAGCTTTCGAATCCATATATGTCCAGGACGCCAATTAAGCACTTCGAATTAGGATCTTGACCAATTGACCTATTAATCCTATCCACAAGCCTACAAAAAAAAAATAAAAATAAAAAATAAGCTATTTCATCTATACATACAAATCCACACTCTACAGAATGTGTAATGTGATGCTTACCAGTCAAACAACCTCGAGTAGACAATTTTGGCTAAAGCATCTCTACTAGAAGTAGCAGCCTGTGGATCCAACTCCTTGGTGATAGTCTCATCACGAGTCACGATTACACGTTTGCAGAGGGAGTCCTCCAAGGCCTTTGCATCACACCTGTAATACATGCATAGTTTCCCAGAAAATGGATAGTCCGAACCAGTTTTCCAATAAAGTCAGCCAATAAAAAAAATGATTTACATGAAAAGTTCAGCTGCAGTTCTTAAATGAAACCAAGACTTTTCATCTTTAGGCATGGATGAATCAATTTCTTTTCCCTTCACGAATTCAATGTTCCCAAGATGGAGGATTGCAGCAATAACTCTAAAAATTGCATCCTGATAAATAGGGGAATTTAATCACCACAATTTAGTATTAATATAAAACCATTAAATTCTTTTCAGTAAAGCTTAAGTTAATACCTGTTCCTCAACACTAATTCCCACAGTGTCCATCGCCTTTCTCGTTGCTATATATTCTTTGCCATCATCAAGGCCATCAAGCTCATAGCAATTCGACTGGTTTAAGTAATGAAATGTTCTTGGATTTCCCAACTTATATTTTTGGATATCCTGTAAAAATAAAATTCATATTTTAAAAAACGTTCAGCTTTGAGGACGAATACAGGAATAGTTACAAAACCCATTTAAAATTCTTGCCTAACTTAAAACTTAAAAAAAAAATAAAAAAAAATAGAAAAATGCTCAAGTGAGCTACCAATTAAAAATACCCCTCAAAATTTAATTATCTTTTACTAATTGCACCCTCCACAGATGAGCAGTTGTTAAACAGATACAAAAGACCTAAAAGCAATAATAAAATTCCATATAATTAAGTTAAACCATGAGGACAGTTTGTCATTAAGCGACTGTGATAAACCATTTCTAACTCAAACATCAAGGTAATATTTTGGCACAAAACCATGTAAATTACCCAATAGTAAGAGAACTATCAAATATCATCTACGCAAAATTGCTTTATTTTTTCTTTTCAATAAGACAACCCGGTTACCTCTTGGGGTGCAGCACAAAGCATATAGAAACAATGGTAGTTTCTCTCTGGATCAGACACTTGACATACACGAGACCTCTCGAGCAAGTATGTTCTAATGGCAGCCCCAGAAATTCTTCCGTTTTGATCAAACTGAATCTCGACAAACTTACCGAAGCGACTACAATTTTCGAAGTGTAGGATTAGTTGCATGGATATAAAAAATTAAATAAACAAATAAATAAGCAAGTTAAATTATAATAAAAAACATTTTTTTTAAAATGATATAGAATATTTAGTACCTTGAATTATTATTTCTTACTGTCTTTGCATTACCAAACGCCTCAAGAACAGGATTCGACTGTAACAAAGAACAAAAAATGTTTATGACTGATAATCTATTATAAGGTATTATGATAAGGGAGCGCATTAAAAAATGTCTGATCCCAAATGAAATGGATTATAATAGTAAAAGTGGAAAATCATTGAGATCCGAAGTTCAGCGTGTCTGTGAATTGAAGCTACAGGGTTGCGTAACTCAAAAGGGATTGTTTCGGTGAAGAAGCTGTGGAAATTTATTGCTGTGCAAAAGTTGAACCAGAAGCAAAATAAGTCTAAATCACCCTTTTACCTTTCAGATTCCCAGTAAATAATGTAGAATTAAATAGAAATTGGCACTTGAAAACTCTGAAAGACTGTTTTTTCTTCTTTACTATTTCTTGAAAAAACTCTTAATAAACAAATATTTTCTTCACTATTTCAACCTAATAAAAATACTTTACTTTACTATCTTTTACTTCAGGCATGGCATTGATATTTTCAAGTGTTGGAGAACACTCTCTCAGATGCCAACACCAGAATCAATAACACTGACCCTAAAACTACAGGATCCACAAATATATTATTACCTCAAGAACTTGTTGCTCGACCGATCTTCCCTCGGATGCCGATCGACCACCCATGTACGCAAGATATCTCATAAGCAATTTTGTACTTTCTGTCTTACCTGCTCCACTTTCACCGCTAACCAAAATCGACTGACTTACGCCTTCATTTATCATGAGTCTGTGTAGATGAAATGATCTTCAGAAACATAACTATATATGCAGATAATTAAAAAAAAAAAATCTCTAATAGTTTTTTCTAATTTTATTAAAAGTGATAAATAAACATAATTGGTTAGTTTCCCATAGGTTATTGGTCTAATCACAACTATGTGTGAGTGTCTATATAATTATATTTATATTTTATATTATACATATATGTATATATAGGATATATATATATATAGGATGTGGTTTAAATGAGAACCAAGTCTTAGTGTGAGAACCATGAGAACCTCTTTTTCTAATTGTACGTGGTGTTATGAATGATTGTATTTTTGTGCTATTTTTAATCAGGATGTATTTTATTAAAAATAGCAACACAATTTATATTAGAATTTGTTAAAATGATAGCACCATGTAATATTAAAAATAGCATCAAATATGGTTCTCACGGTTCTCACACCAGGGCTAGTTTTTATTTGAACCAGCCCCTATATATATATTTGAACCAGCTAATAAAAAAAAAAAACTTAGGCCTTTGATTCCATATTAAACATTACCCCTAAGCAGAAACATTTCACACATCTCCTTTACAACAAAACCCAGGGGGTACTTTTTAGTAAACTTTAATAGTATCTAAGTTTTTCGTAAAATTACTCCAAGCCTCAGTGGAAGTTATTGTAACTCACTCTATACATATGTATGCAAACTTGGACAAAGAGTTATAAATGAAAAGCGATACTTGCCTGTATGCAGCATCTGCTACGGCAAAAGGGTGCGGACTCAGCTCACCAAAAGCTGCTCCTTTATATTGGGCCATCATATGACTATCGTATAAATGAGGCAATCTTTGGAAGGGATTAACAGCAATCAATATACTCCCAGTGTAGGTCTAATAAAAGGTTAAGGAGAAAACAGCTTCAGTGATATTGGAGAAGAAGCTTGTAAGTGAGCCAAGGTGCCAAAATATTTTCGACTTACATATATTTCATTGATATCATATCTGGATTTTAAATTATGTAGAACTCCAGGTTCATGCAAATAAGCCAGCTTCGTCATATCGTCCACCCCACAGGCCGGAGCCTCGGCATCTTTCGGGTAGACATTGGATGAATTGACCACAACCTGAAAAATCAGTTTAAAAACTATCTTTACTCGAATTACCTCAAATGATTTTATCAGTGGAAAAGAACCATTTAGCCCAACACTACAACAACAACAACAACATAGCCTTTTAGTCCCAAGCAAGTTGGGGTAGGCTAACACTCCTCAGAAAAAAAATAAAATAAATAAATAACCAAAAAAATAAAAGAAGTACCTCTGAATTAGGAGTATTTACAAAGAAAACTTGGAGAAGATATCAATTTACATAAGAACGAGAGAAGATGGAACTTTGATTTTCATCTTTCATTTTCCACGCTTGTTAAGTNAATATACTGGGCATTTTGTTGTTGTTGTTGTTCTTTTCTCAATGTGCAGGTGTAATAAACCCACAAGTAATTTTTATCCAGAAAATCATGGGAAATGATGACAGTGGTGGATACCAAACAAACACACACTCGCAAGCAAAAAAGAGGAAATGAGAGAAAAGAATAGGACATGGACCAGATAAAACTAAATGGCATATGATTAGGAAACTGACCGTTTTTCCTGATGTACAAAGAACCTTAATTTCTTCCCCGCTGATGGATACAACCTCACCATCCATCCAGGCTTCATCAGGATCCTCCACCCAAACAAGGGATCCAACTCCTAATGCAAACGCAACCTACAATGTTCAACAATTACATGGTCAATTTCCGCAATGTCATGAATTCCAATATCCCTAGGGATAACACTGAGTCTTCAGTATTCCAAAATGTTTTTATACTGGCAATCAACATAATAATCTGACACAAAGCAAATTCATTACTACTGCAATACCGCCCACAGCATCTATTAGTCAACTGAAGTCAAAACCAGTAACGAAATCATAAGACTTCCGTGCGCATGCGCAGAGACACAACAAATAATGGAAAAGAAATGAATGCAAACAATGGAATTCAGGATCGGTACAAGATCACATTGAATTTGTTCAGTTCAATAGCTCAGATATCATAGAATTGTAGCCCAAAAGTAAGCATCAGGAATAACATAACCCTCATAATAAAAGAGGAAAAATACACGGGAAATAGGACCAGCCTTGATCGAGAGAACAACAGATCAATTCGCTTTCAAGAAAACAACAAGCTTCCATTATACAACACTGTGACTTCAAGAACAACCAAATGAATCCATATAATTCAATAAAAACCATTACCATTTTGTAAGACTCAAATCACAGTCTCCAGTCTCGCCTCGATCGGGTAACACTCCGCAGGACAATCAAAATCTTAAACNCAAAAAAAAAAAAAAAAATACAGACATAAACAAATAACAGTTGACAAGAAGCAGATCAGTCCACCACCGTTCTCCTACTTAAATTATAAAATGAAAATCTCATTACAAATCACTTAAATCCCAGAACTTTCTCTGACAAAAGAAATCCCTGTAATCTTATGCACAGGTGCTCCACAAGTTCAAGAAATTTTCCACGCGGAGTAACAAATGAATAGTACAGAAATCTATTATTTTTAAAGCAAAGATCTGACAGCAGGAATGAACTTTCTTTTTTTCAACAAATTCACCGTGCCGAATTTTTTCAATTAAAAGGTGGAAAAAATCCGAGAGGTCTTTTGAGATGTAAATGGAGAAGAGTGAATGAATGGAGAAGAAATATCAAATATGAATATGAATGGAACTTTAAATGAAAAACCCCCCTTTTCAGTCTGCTAAGTAAACGGATGTTATAAATACTTTCCTTCAATTTTCTTTTGTGTTCTGTTCCGTCGCACGTTGTTGGGGGTATTTGGTCTTTCTCCATATTTATGTAAGTGTGTAATCGCAACAGTTAAAAAGTCAATAAAATTAAATGGTGGTGAATTCAATTTATACCCTCTCCAGTCACCGATTATTACAAAGCAGGGACCGACCCGTCAGCTTCTGTGAGAAACGCGGAAATATACGTCGTTGTGGGCTCCACCTTTTAGACGGTTGAGGGCTGTTATCACAATTCACAACCATAGGTATTGTTTTTTCCAAGCCAAAAAATTGCATTACAAAAATCTTTTTCAATTTTCGAACGTGGATCTACCTGTTTGGTGCGGTCCGAGTCCTTGAGTTCGTTGGTACCTGCAAAAGCACCGGAATTGCTCCGACGCCCAAGTTAATCTCTCGGAAGAGGAAAATAAATGTGCAATAAATGTAACAGTAAGTGTATTGAATGAGTCTTACCTAATAACTGCGGAACTTAACATATATATAGCGTTTAGTTGTAAGGACTCCCTCTAAGGTTATGAGTCCTTAGATATCTATCGACCGCGTGTGATTCGGTCGATGCCCGGCTATATGGGTCAATATTCGACCCATCTCGCCCCTTGCTGTGCAATTGACCCTGGGGCTACGCTCGACCACTCGAGCCGGTCGAGCCCCCCTCGACCCTCGTTACTCGGCCCGACCGTTAGACCTATTCGCCCTCGTTCCACAGGTCTTTGTTCAGTTAATTTGGGTCGGCACTATAATCCCTATCACTTGGTATATTTAAATGAGATTGTTAAACTTTAGAAAATCAAGAGGTATTTAATTAGGATTACTAATGACTTTTTAGAAGTGTTCAAAAATCCAGAGGTATTCAATTGGGATTTTTTAAAGTCACACAAAATCACAAGGTATTTATATCCTTTTAAATTTTTTTGGGATTTGTATTTATTTGGATTTGCTAGGATTTTAAGAAGAAAATATGAGTACCAAATCTCATTACAAATATCACATTAAGAGGTGGGATTGTGAAGGATTTTTACAGAATATGAAGAGTTTTTACAAGGTCCAATATCGTCTCTTCTTCTTCTATTTCTTCTTCACATTGCATAATTAAATTAATTAAACATATAAAAAAACATGTACACGTTTTATGTGATTCTCAAACACATACGCCTTACTGAATATTGTTGATCATTAAAAAATATTGAATTAATCTTTTGTGGCATCCTTCATATTGAAAACAAAATTGTATTAGAATTTAATAATCAAAATGGATATGTATATGTTTGACNAACGCTAGAACCAAATATATTTGCAATTGAATAATTAAAATTGATTCTTAAAAATCCATTTGCAACTTGAAGAATTATTCATCTTCCTCATCTTTTCTTCTTCTTTGTCCATATTTTGTTTTGTAAGAGAAAACCATTGTTTTGTTACTTTAGTACAAACATCTTTTCTATTTATGAGTAAATTTTATGATCTTGTTAAAATTACATTTTTTATGATCTTGTTTGGATTGAAGGATTATTTAATTACTTGTTTTCATAAAATATTCCATGAATTTAGATTGTTTTCTAATGAATACAGTCTGATGGATATAGTCCTTGAAAAATTTGTAGCGGTTGACCCAATTCTATGTTGCATTTTTACTATATTCATCATATTCATTACTTTTAATATTCATAAGGTAGTTGCTTAATATTTGTACAATAAGAAAAATAAACAAATGTAAAAATAAAAATTCACATTATTTCATGTTCAAATTAATCTGTATAAATTTTTCATAAATTCTCACAACGATATATTTACATATAAGTGTTGATGTTTAATCAATGCAAAAGCAAAAAAGAAAAAAGAAAGAAAGAACAAGAAAAAAAAATTATAAAACTCTTGAAAAGTCTGATGAAATCTATAGAAGTCTTGAAGAATAGTAGATGTAACTTTTGTAGATTTCTAATAAATCCTATAAAATTCATGATAATATATGAGAATTGATAAAATCCACAAAATTTCATTCTTAGTAATATCTTAAAATGTCTTTTAGAATCTTAAATGAATACACCCCCCCTAAATGAATACACGACCGCAATCACCGGTTGCACGCACCATGCACGGCCGGGCGAGCAATTTTTTATTTATTTATTTATTTTATAATCAAATTTTTATTAATTATATAAATTATAAAAATTATAATTTTAATTTATAACAAAAATTATAGAAAAACTAATTATAATTTTTTTTGTTATAATTTTTATAACAAACTATAAGTTATAAATTTTTATTTGTAAGAACTAATTAAAAATCATAAAAATTATAAAAACAAAGTAAATTATAAAGATAACAAAATTATAATTTTTTATAAAAATTATAAAAACTAAATAAGTTATAAAAACTAAATAAATTATAAAATTATAAAAACTAATTAAAAATTATAAATTTTTATTTGTTATAAATTTATAACTACAATTTTTATTTGTTATAATTTTAATTTATAACATAAACTAATTATAAATTAAAATTATAATTTTTATAATTTATATAATAAACAAAAATTTGATTATTAAAAAAAAAATCCCGCCGTCCTGTCGGCGAAAACGGCCGTGCACGGTCCGTCCTACCGGCGATTGCAGCCGGCACAGTGCACGGTCGGTTTTGCCGGACGGAGAGAAAATTTATTTTTGTTTTCTTTACTTTTTAGTAAAAAAGTCAAGAGGCAAAACTGTTCAAAAGGCCGTAAATAGTAACACCCAAATACAAGAACTCAATCGCTATTCACCGCCCCCCTTTTACTAGTCACCGCCCCCCCCATTTACTCTTTTGCCCTTAACCCTTTTTTGATTTCATCTCTCTAAACTTTCTATCTCTCTAAACTTCCGAACTTCAACGAACGATTCGAGCATAAAAAAAAATCCAAAAAAATGTCGAAAAATTTCTACGGCCTCGGCAAAGGATTCTTCTCCAACAAGGTAAATTTATTTTTTTTTTTTTT